ATGGAATTCACTCAAGTCTTTGAAGGGAGTTTAATTAGAGCTATTAGAAGATTGGAAGAAGTCCTTCAACAGCTAATACAAGCTGCACAATCCATTGGTGAGACTGAACTTGAAGCCAAATTTGAAGATGCTGTTAGCAAGATCAAGAGAGACATTGTCTTTGCTGCTTCTCTCTACTTGTAAATATAAAGACTGAAATGCGTTTGACAAAAGTTATCCTACAATGCACACATACCAGGATGAGTTCTTCTGTGAAGGGCAGAGACAGGGAAATGCCTGGTAAGCATAAGATGTTATGCACATTGGATGGTTTCTCTCTCATAGATTTTTTGGTTAGGAAAGAATCTCTAAGCTTCCATTTTTGGTCTTTATAGTGGTAGAAAACAGTAGGTTAATCAAAACTGATTGGCTACTTTAGTATTAGGTACCACAGTTTCATTGATGAAATTGTTTAATTTTGAAATCAAATTCAAGTGTAATTTCCTCCTTGCATATGTAGAGTAAGATCACTGTGTAATAAGATGATTAATGTGTTTGTTTATGATTATGGAGTGTAACAATAGGCATCTTGGTTGAGGGTTATGTTTTTTAAATGGATAATTTACTGTACAATTATAGACACTTCTGATGAAATGAAATGTTATCACATTACCTTTTATAACATCATCCGTCTAAAAGTCATTTCATCGTCTTAGCCCCTATGCTCTTCACCTGAAAATGAATAATCTTATGTGATTTTTGGTTTGATTTTGTTCTAAAGTTTTTGTTCTCATGTGATCTGAATGTCTCCAATACTGTGTGAAATACAGAATATGTAGTACTAGTATCATATCTGGTTTAATTTGAATGTTTCTAGTTCGGTTTGATAATGATCAATATGAGTAAAGAATGATCTGAACAGAGTATCACTGTAGCAAGGTAGAACTTTTAGAAATCATCTTTAGTAGTTACTCCGTATATTTTGTAATTTACTTGATGGTTCAATTAAATTTAACAAATTTGACTTTATGCCACATGCTCTTTTAAATAACTAGTATAGTACTCGTGCGATGCATGAGAAAAATTATTTTTCATATTAAAGAATAATTTAGTGAAACATCGTGTTTGTCTTATATTAATATTATGAATGTTTTAAAATTTCTTTATAAATAAATTATAAAGGGATAAGGGTCAGATAGGGCCTCGAACTCGAAAAAAAATGTCAAATAAGGTCATATTTCGGATGCTCTGTCTGGCCGACGCCATTTGGGGCGGTTCCCGATGGAATTTTTTGATGAAATTTTTTGAGCATCTTCCTCATTAAGTCTAGTTTACCCATACCAAATTTCAGCTAAAAGTTCAACCGGGAAGGTAGTCAAATAATTTTCCGAAATGTACGGCGTTGTTTAACTTCACAGTTATCTTCAAAAATTCATTTGACTACCTTCCCGGTTGAGTTTTTAGCTGAAATTTGGTATGGGTAAAATAGACTTAATGAGGAAGATGCTCAAAAAATTTCATCAAAAAATTCCATCGGGAACCGCCCCAATTCCCAAATGGCGTCGGCCAGACAGAGCATCTAATGAAGTTTCAAAGTATCTTGATAACGTACACCTGCAAGATATAAAAAATAGATTTTCACAAAAATATCTCAACATTAGATAAATGTTGTATTTTACTGTTTATAATTCTACATATGTTGGAAGCTGTCTAACCAAAAATCTTATTTTTAGTTTAGATAAACGTTGTATTTGGCTCTTGATTATTTAAATTAATAAATACTACCTTCGTCCGAATTTACTTAGTCATCTTTGACTTTACTAGATAGAGATAGTAAATTTTAACTAATTATTTTAACTAATATATTTATGCAAAATTTAATAATTTTACACTTTTATGATAATATTTTTATCAAAGAACATTTTCATATCTTTTTCATATTATCAATACTCTCTATATAAACATGTCATCGGTCAAAGTGAGATGCTATTGATTTGAAAAGTCTTGGCTAACTAAAATGGGATGGAGGAAGTACTTCGTATGCATTTTTAAATATGAAAACTTTATACCAAAGATCCTAAGCAGATCATTCGAAAACAAAAAAAATACAAACTTTACATGCATCAATCGCTGCATATAAAAAGACATACTTCCGACCTGGCCCAAAACAGAGTATTATCAAATCTCATTTGCAATACTTTTTCAAATCTCATTTGCAATAAGCTATCAACATAAGGAGTATATAAGTCCGTTTGATGATTAAAGAGCCATATAATGAGAAATTGGGTGATTGAAATTTAGGAATTTTGACCACAATCAGACGCTCACCAACTACGAAGTTCACACCCTTGCTAGTAATGACACGTCTAAGGCAGAATTTTATGGTTAGCTATCCAAGGCGGTGATGGTGATTTCCTTACTCATATGATCAGCAACTCCGGGGAACATAGCAGAACCTAAGAACCACAGGTTGATAGGTGAGAATAATATTACCAAACATAGTTACAGACCCTTCCTGATATTCATACCACAATTCATGATCGAGTTGTATGTGGCCGGTCTCATATAGCTCACATCCCAATCTTATGAGTGCCACATAATATATATGAAGTCTTTAGTGTATATACCTACAAATGTTTATAGTCCATTAAAGAAATATTTTGAAATTACTCTATGAGTAGGTTTTAATTATTCAAACTTACGACCTTCTACATATATACTCGTAGCACATTACTAACTACTCTATGAACAAAAACCAAATACGAAGTATGTCTTGATTCACAAAGTAGTCAAATGATAATATGTAAATCTCAAAATTTCCAATCAAGTTTAGCAACACTGAAATGTTCCTGTATCTTGAAAAAAATTCCAACCAAATTATAAACTGAAATTACAAATTGAAATATCCCCTCCCTTCTTATCCTTGGGCATTGGCATCTTGTTATCTCATCTTCTGCAGGTGATACAAAAAAAACTTGATAGGCGATGCAATGAAATGTATCTCCGTATTAAATGTTCCTGCATCATATAAAATATGAAATAATTACATAATTGGACCATCCCAAGATCAAATCTATATCATACATAAATTAAGAAACAACCGGTTGAATGGTTAGGATGACTCCTCACCTTCGGTTGCTCTCCCAAAACCACACCGGTGACCGGAAAATACGTTTCCTGGCCTGAAGAAGCCTACAGGATTGAAGCATCCGCCTCCTTACCAAATTTCAATATATGACTGCTGAACCCCTATGTCGCTTTCCCTGACACATCAATGACTGAAACCTTTTGCCGTTCTCCGGTTTCTCCCTAAACCCAGCTGTGATTTTAACACTCTGCCCCTTGTTTATCACACCAAAGGCCAAATTTTTCCATCGCCGTCGCGAACACGTGTGTCTGAAACATGTGTTTCAAAGTATCGTCTGTCCACGTTATTTTCCTTTTGAAAGATCAAGCCAGTGCTTACTTATGTATGAATTAATGAGTCTCAAGAATCCTGAGCATCACAACACGAATGGACTCCTTATCCATAGCATAAGGATATAGCAGCAATAATTCTCCAGAATCCTAAGCATCGAATTACAACATCCTATGTGCTAATTTATTAGTGCAGATGCATCCAAGTTGCTTAAATTCCTTAATGTCGCAGCATATAAATAATGAGTTGAGTGGGTTAAAACTGCGTTGAAGAACTGCTATTATAACGACGTGCAGGTTAACATGTAACTAACCCACTATTGCACTTCGCATGCCCCTGAGGAATTGACGCGTGGTTGCTACAACGAATAGCCAGGATATATTGACCGTGCAGTTGTGAGAGGATTTTGTATTTAATCACCATTTGACACGTGTCGTTTTTAATGGCCAAATTTGTCGAGTCGATTCTCACGATTCACCTTTTATATATATAAAGATTAAATAAAAAAGAGCTTTTGTTGATCACGGCCTTATTGGGGACCAGTGGCGTAGCCAGAGATTTTTTGAAGGGGGCGTACCGAATGCTAATATTTATTTGGTGTATTTTCTCAAAATATAAAAACAATAAAAATGCATTACATTAGCATATATTAGTCATTACATTCTACTTGACTCATATCTATAATCTGTTGGGTGAATAAATCGTATGAGTTTTAATAATATGTTCAAAATTTTTCATAAGAAATTAAAACGAGCTCATAGGACTCTTGTACACTCATCTACACACTCAAAACTCAAAAGGTTCTCATAAAAATGAGCAATCTTACCCCTATCTATACTAATCTCATCAAATCTTGCTTAGAATTTTTTATACGCCATTACACATCTACATTCTTCCAAGAAGTATCCACAAGCTTCTCTAATCTAATGGAAGGATCTAGAGAACTCCAAAGTTCTTCAAAATGTTTTAGAGGCTTCCACACTCTTCCGCGTGGTTTTGGTGAGTTCCACACTTTTATAGAAAACTTACCAATATTATTCTAGAACATTCAACACTTCTCTACACGCATATACAAAATCCTAGACATCTTTGAAAATTCTAAAATTCTCATGAATTTTTCCATTAAGGAGGGAATCCAACATAGTATCGAGAATGTTTTGATCATGTTATTTCAAAAAATGTGACAACATATTCGTTAATCCTAATACTCTTTTGCATTATAACCACGAAAATCAACCTGTGTGACATTAAAGGTCTAAAACAATCCAGTGATCCACACTTGCATTCAAATGAGTGACGTACGTTGCAGTCAATACGTACTTGTATTCCTAGAGACAGGTTTCCTGAAAGATTTCGCCTTTTATTTTAATACTTAATCTAAAATTGTCTTTAATGAGTATTTATTTTTGAAAAAAGGAAACATTGAATATATTATAAGTAGTAGTACTAATTTTTTTGGCCCGAAGCGGGGGCGCTTGCCCCCGCCCAGCTCCTCCACTATTGGGGACCAAAGTGAGGCTTTCAGACGCATTCTATTTTTTTGGATGGAGAACCTCCAAACCTTGCATATAAAAAGCCTTTCATGACGAATCACAAGTAATAAGAAAGAGTGATATTAGAATAAAAAATCTTATACATGAATGGAGGTATCCTTATGGAATAAGGGTATACTTTAGATTTTACATGATGTACATTAAGTGGTCATCATTTACGATAATGTCCTCGTAGTAACCACATACCACAAATCATTAAAAACCGAAACACCACAAAAATGAGCTATAAATGATTATTGTTGAAGCAGTTGCTTTTATCAATTTTGCTGACTGGATTGAGCGACCGTCAGCTGAACTCGAGTCCGAATCTGAAGATAACCAAAAGAAGACATCATCATATATCATAATATCATATCATATTATCATCAATAATAATCTTATGTTGCATGAAACACAGAAAGTATATGTAATGCTGTTAAATGTCCCACACCGGAAACGTTTGGATGAACAAAGTGCTATATTAACACATATGCTACTCCTCCTATCAGGTTGACTTTTTAGGATGGAACCCCGTGTCTTAACATGGTATCAGAGCCAAATCGATCCATGGTGTGGGGGCCTTATGAATCGTGATGACACGATTATAAAAATGACACGGATGAACCCCGTGTCTTAACAAATGCACACTCCCAAGTGTTAGTTGTTATTGTTACCCGGGGGAAGGCATCCAAAGAAGTTGACTCGGTGACCACATCTAGCTGGCAGCATTTGAGCTTCGCTCGTATCAATCCCGGCCTTCTCTGCCTCTTTGCTGCCACTGATGCTGACCATTTGACACAAGCACTCCGGCATCTTCTCGATGACATCCTTCAGGGGATCGCAGCAGGTGCTCGGGGGACCCCGGCTCCCGTTCAGGTAATTAACGCAAGGCATCAGCTTCTTCACGCACTGGTTCTGCTGCAGGTTCTGGTTTTCAGCCTTATCTGTTTCTTCTGCAGAAACTAAACATAAGCTTATTATTACAACCCCAACAAGAGTTACCCATAAACGCCTCATTATTCTTTGTTTGATGGCTTCAATCTGTTTTATCATTACATATATAAATGACCTTCTAAAAAATGGTTAAGAGTTGGCTATCTAACATTGCTTTCCCGCTTCTGGATTCTATCTACTCCTACAGTCCAGTCAGTCCTACATATGGCGGTAGCATAAATTGTTGAGCTACTTTAATTGTTAGAATAACTATGTACGTAGTACGAAGTGTATTATAAAGATAACTTGGTATATGTTTCACTTATGTTTGTGTTTTATTTATAAAGAACATTATAGTTGGTTTGGGAAAAAATGGCGGTAGCATAAACAGTTGAGCTACTTTAATTGTTGGAATAACTATGCACGTAATACTCTCTCTGTTGTTTATTAAATTAATTGAATAATTTTAACTGTTTGACTTTCACGCTTGTCAACACACAACTTTGGGTGTAATTATATTTAATTATGTACTCCGTATTAGTAAATACTAAATATTACTCCGTATTAAAAAGTTATGTAGTACTCCATAATATTTAGGAATTTACATTAATAGAAATTTAATACGGAGTAATATTTTACACACAGTAATTTGATTATATATTAATAGAAAATCATGGTCATGGTATATGTTTCACTTGTTAATACTTGTGTTAGTGTTTTATTTTAAAACTTTCTTCACTTATATCAATTATCAAACCAAACTTGTGAAGAAAGTTTTTCTATAACAGAATGTAATAAATCACCTAGTCCATATGACCAATATTTGTAACAAATCTTTGAAGTAGAAAATATAACCAACTTCCTAAGGTAGACATTAAAGTGAATGAATGCCTTCGATGAAAGGTAACCTTCATTTCAGGGATTTTCAGCCGTGTCGGGTAACATTAGCTTTGATGCTCTCACTTTTCCAAATTTATCCATTATGTGCGAGTTTATATTATAGAAATTTAGCACATCTTTTTTGACCAAATTTAAAATTAACAAAGGCCGCACAGAGTTGGGTCAGCATAGGGATGGACTCGGGCCGGGCCGCCCGGCCCGGAACCGGCCCGGTTACTGTTTGAACCGGCCCGATTACTGTTTGAACCGGCCCGGCCCGGGAACCGGTCCGGGGGCGGTTCGGGTCGGCCCGGCCCGGTTACTGTGCGGTTCAGGCCCGGGCCCTTTGATTGGCGAACCGGCCCGGCCGGTTCGGGCCAAATTAATTTTTTTTTTGAATTTTTTTTAAGTTTTTGGGTTGGGCTTGGTATTTTGGGCCATTTGAGGTGGTTTGGGGGTGAGGGGGGAGGGTTGGGGGTTAATTAGGAAAAGCCAAAAAAAAAAATAGAACTGAGGCCCGGCCCGGACCCGGGATTACCCGGGCCGGTTCCGGGCCTCCCATTTCTGAACCGAGGCCCGACCGGGCCCAGGCCCGAACCGGGCCCGAACCGGGCCCGAACCGGAACCGGTCCACCCATAGGTCACCAGGATTGTGTGGATTTGGGTTACTTTTGGCACATGTATAACTCTAGTTTGGAGACTGGATCTGTTTTTGTGATTATTATGCCGAATGAGTGTACAAATTTGAAATTATCAATTTAGAAATAGCCTGACATATTGATAGGGTTACAAGAATGACTGACACATAATCTCTGAGGGTCTCCAGCACCGACCGGACAAATAGCGAGTAGAGCTCTAGCCCAGTGACGTATCCAGAAAAATATATCAGCGGGGGGCGAATTTACCTTAGATAAATAGAGAGAAAATTACAACAAAAATCAGACTAATCAGATTAAGGAAAAAATGTAAAACCAATAATAAATAACAAAATATTCTCTCATAAAAAAAAATTACGATATTATGTTTAATTAAATTTCATTTTTTTAGAAATAATTTTATCACATTGAATCTGTAATTTGTGCGAAATTATGTCAATATATAAATGAATCAACTAGGGAAGGTGGAACATCTAGTTAGAATTAATTTTTATTTAAAATTTACAAGTATAATAAAATACTAGTTTTTATTATGTATAAAATTGGTTCATATGTGAAACTAGAATTGTAACTATATTGATGAAGTTTAGATCTTTTCAACAAGAAAAAAGTATAAAGAACAATGTATAGCCACTTAGAATTTGCTTAAGGCTTCACGGACAAAAGAAATAAAAGAAAAAAAAGTCTTTACAGGGGAATCAAACTCCGAACCTCATCTCAAATGAACATCTTAAGACTCCTATTTCCGCTCAACCACTAGCAAGTTTTGTCAAAACATTCGTACTAATTGAATAAAAACCCTTATTTAGAACAAAAAATATATGTATAAATTTAAATTGGATATATATAATAGGGTTGGGTGGGGGTTGAGTGGGGGCAGCTGCTCCCCTGCGGCCCTGCCCCCACCCTGGATACGCCCCTGCTCTAGCCCATATTCTTGCAGAAGTCTTATGCATTTTTAAGGAGTAACCTCTCATCGCAGATTTGATTAAGTGTAGTATTTAACTTTATCATTGATAGGGTTACAAAGAAGTCAATAACCACATGCATGATGAGTTATTTCATTACGGATACTAATTGATTAGAAATTCGGGTGTTCTATATATGTGCTTAGTCATTTTAAGGATGAAATGCATTTCTCTAATAAAAATAAATATCTTTTATATTGAAATGAAACTAATGAATGAGCATTATATAATTAGTAAATGACAAAATGCAAAAGGAAATTTAAAAACATTTGGATGTAAAATAGAATGTGGACATGCATATCGCATAATTTGCTTGATTATTAATACCCAAGGGGACAGGTAAAAATGTAAAATGAGACCATGAATACGGTTGACTCCTGTGATGTTTGAAAGTTTAAAACTAGCGAGGACATCTTAAGAAATAATAGTTATTTAATTAGATAATAATTAAATAGGGTTATTCGAGTAGTTTTGAAAAGTAGTTTGATGAATATATGATACAATGAGATCATTCATGATAACTCTAATGCTATCAAAGTATTAGTTTTAATATTGGATGATTAAGCCGTCGTTTAAGAATGTTAATAATTTTAAATATAGAAATGAGAAAATGTAGGGTATGTTTGGCACAACTAGCTGAAAATATATTTTGTGAGCTTTTTAGTAACAGTTGGTTTTTAGTGACTGAAAAGATCTTAAAAAGAAAAAGTGGTAGTTGTTTGGTAAAATTCTGACTGTGTAATATAGTTCTATTTGGTATGCAAGCTGTTAGGACTAATTAATACTAAAAGCCACCGACTTTTCTTAGATGCTACTCCATGTAGCATCTCAAAAAAGATCTTGTATTTTTTGAAAAACTCTTAAACATTGTCATGCCAAACATACAACTAGAAGCTTTTAGAGACTTTTTGAATAGTACAAAAGCTAGAAGGCAGAGACTTATGCCTACTAAACATGCACATAGTTAGAAGCATCCAAAAAGATTGATGAAAAGGTTAAAGCTGAGACGGGGTCAATTGCCTCAATTGAAAACGGTTACATAATTTATTTGAGGGTTGTGTTTCATTTTGTAAGTGTTCAATTGCCTCACGTTGAACAAATATAAAATTATCAACCAAAAGACATATAAGCATGGCCTTGATCTAGCTAGTTGAAGCCTTGAAGGCATGTGTCATACTGCCACTCCCAAAATAAATTATCGTTTACTACCTTCTAATAAATTTATCTGACTTTCAATATCTTACATTAGCTTATGTAGTTATGTATAAACCTGCCAGTGGTTTAATAGAACTACAACAGTTCTTAATGTGTTTATTTTAATTAGTGAAAATCCACTGATGAATAGTTGTAAAGCATAGCACAATTCCTCAAAAAAGAGTCATTATTTTCTTCATACAATAAGACTCATTCACTTTTATTGGGAAAAGTTTTTATTGTTTTATTCTTTTAATGGCACTAAACAATTCGTATTTTGGTAAGAAGCAAATGTAGTTCTAACTTCGCCCGTATTTTATATTTTCATTTGCTTTTTTTTTTTTTTTTTGAACCCGGAAGGCAAACCACCAAAATCAGTGGGGTAGATGCCGGGGAACATCTACCAGATTTTATTAATAAGAAGAGGGTACAAAAGAAAGGTGGACTAGGCCAAAACCTTTCCGAAGGAGGCATACCTCCCAGAATTACATCAAGACCAAGAAAAAGACAAGCTCTAAAAATAAAACAGCAATTTTGGGGGGGCTATACCTGACCCAAAATAACAAAGATCAACTACTCGTAATAAAAAGCTCTTAACGAAGAAACACCAAATAAATCCATGAAGTAAGAGTTTCGGGCCGGGCTCGGAAGATTCCGGGCTTGATAAAAGGTTTGGGCCATGGAGCAGGAGGCCAAGTAATGAGCGACCCAGTTCGCCTCACGCCAAATACCGAAATAGGCAACCCCTCTGTTCTCAGACAGATCCAACAAGCGCCGCACTTCACCACTCCATCGACCAGGACCGCCATTGTTGATTAAGTTCAGAGCTTCTAGGGAATCAGTTTCTACCTCAAATCCAGAGTAACCGGCCTCAAGCGTCCATAGAGTAGCATGAATGATCGAAACAAGCTCTGCCTCAAGAGGAGAGGAAGCTGTGACTAGAAACGAAGCAGCCATCACCATCTTCCCCTCCTTGTTTCTTAAAATGGCTCCACCCGTTGCGTGATGAGAGGAAAAACAAGCGTCCACATTCAGTTTGTAAGTCATCTTTGGCCTCTTCCAACTGATTGCTTTAAAACTAGGCCGATTTAATTTTAAAGATTTCGGAATTAGCTGCTCCTCATAAAGGAATTCCCCAATATTTAGTAACCTGGAGTTGGAAAAACTAGTTGCCCAAGATTGCAAGTAAAGCTTAATCTGATTCAGGAGTTTTTCAGTAGAGGGAATTCCACTATCTGAGCCCCAGATGATGCTAGAGTAGGATTTCCAAATGTGCCAACAGATAATAGCAGGAAGACAATGTTTAAATATATCCTCCATCTTCTTAGATCCCGCTTTTAACCACCAAGAGATGAACACCTGTCTAATTGAGTCCATTTGGACCAGATTAGGGATTCCAAATAACCCCATAAAATAAGTCCACACTGGTTTAACTCTATCACACTTTAGAAATAGATGATCACTCGAGTCAGAATGGCTCCTACATAAAGGGCACATAG